AAGGGCACCTAGTTTGCTTCCATAGTTTAGCTATTGTGAATTGAGCTGTTATAATTATTGATGTGGCTGTATCACTGTTGTATGCTGATTTTAAGTCCTTTGGCTATTAACCTAGGAGTAGAATAACTGAGTCAAATGGTAGAAGTTTTTATTCCAAGTTTTCTGAGAAATTTCCATACTGCTTTCTAGAGTGGTGGCACTAATTTTTAGTCCCACCAGCAACGTATGAATGTGCCTTTTTCTCCACATCCTCACCAGCATTTATTGTTGCTTGTATTCTTGATAATTGCCATTCTGACTGGAGTGAGATGGAATCTCAGCATAGTTTTAATTTGCATTTCTCTAATTGCTAGAGACGTTGAACAGGTTTTCATAAATTTGATGATGGATTGTATTTCTTCTTCTGTGAAATGTCTGTTCACTTCTTAACCCACTTATTGATTGGGTTAAATTTACAGATTTTTAAAATAAGTCTTTCCCCCTAAAATGCCATTTTTCCAAAGTGTCCTCCTTATCCCTAATTGATAAATCTATATCATTTCAGAAAACAAATTTACTAACTGAATAATCTTTGGTTAAGAGGAAAGAATGTTTTAGTAGCTCTATTAAATATTGTTAGCATCAATGTATGCTTTGGGAGGTCTATTTTTCATTTTTCTACAACCTCTTTTGTGATGTCAGTTTCCAAGGTCTTAGTATTTTATTTGCCTGAACTAACACACAGTGAAATTAAGATCTCTAAAATTTTTCCTTATTTCTATTTTTAATGAATTGTCAATTGCAGTTTTTTAAGGCCAATTATTTGAATTCTTTAACTTAGATAATGTTTTGATAGATTGTTCTTATACAATTTACTTAGAATCTTACACATTCGCATTTTAACATGCCTTTTTGACTTTTTCTTTATGACTGTCAACACAAATCAATGCCATAAGAATATTGAACACAATGGCAGATAGTTTCTAAAAACACTTTAGTTAACAGTAAACATTTCATTTTGGAATTATAAAGTCACAAGGACAATTTCCAAGCTTCTAATTTCAATATTACTTAAGACTGTATGAAATACAAATTTGCAATTTTTTTTAAGGACATGGAGGGAGAGTTGTGGTAATTCTTCCAGAAGTCCACTTGAAACTCTCACAACTGAAGACTAGGTCTTCATGGTAAGAAGTAAAAATGGATATTGGCCAAGAGCCATGACACATATCTGAATCCCAGCAACTCAAGAAGCTAAGGCAGAAGGAAGTCAGGTTCCTGGTCAACATGGGCAACTTACCAAGACCCTGTCTCAAAATGAAATTTAAAAAAAAATGGGATGTAGTTCAGTGGTAAAGCACCTCTTCATTCAATCCCTGGTACCAGGAAACAAAAAATGGCTATTGACACAGGGTAAATATCCGGTAAGACATATACCCTCACAGTACACTTCCTCCATGAGGATATATCGCTGCAAAACCATCAAAGCAAAGATTTTTTTAAAAACCATTACATGATTTTTTGATTTATTTATTTGTTCATCGGTTAATATGTACAAATAAATTAATGACTGAATGAAAGAATACAAGAATATCCAATATGTGCCAGGTACTGCAGACCACATATCTTGGCTATACTGTGAGAATAAAAAACTGCCCAGGTGCAGTGGCACAAACCTGTAATCCCAGCAGCTCCAGAGGCTGAGACAGGAGAATCGCGAGTTCAAAGTCAACCTCAGCAATGGCAAGGCACTAAGCAACTCAATGAGACCCTGTCTCTAAATAAAATACAAAATAGGGCTGGGGATGTGGTTCAGTGGTGGAGTACTCCTGAGTTCAATCCCTGGTACCAAAACAAACAAACAAAACTGTCCCTCACTATTTCTTCTGCTCCTCTTACCCAAATTGTAGGGGGGATGGTCAGTGTTTATTTGTTTGTTTGCAATGCTAATGATCAAACCCAAGGCCTCTCTCATGCTAGGCACATGCTCTGCCCCTGAGCCACACCCCCAGCCCCCAAATTGTTTTTATATACTCTCAGAATCACAGAGAGAATAGAAGGATATTAAAGTAGGAAAAGAGGTTATTTTACATTATTCTATGGATGAGGAAACAGGCCTATGAAAGCAAATATCTCCCCCAGGACCCTGCAGTTCAACCTAGCTAGGAGCATGTCATTAATTTTTCTTTAGAGCAACCATGGAAGACGTTATCAGTTGCCTGCTCACAGTCACACCCAACCCCTCTTGCTTGTTAGAAAGTCCCACTTCCCCTGAAAGCAACCAAAGATGACAAATACTTACCTTACTAGTGGTCGTCATATGACCCAGTTACAGCCACTGAGATGCAAAGGGAGGTCTGCTGGCAGGTTTCTGAGAAGTATTTTGCCTCTGGAACAAAAGAAAAATCAAAATAGCTGCTTCCCCCTCTCCCCCCCTCCCGCATCTTTGGAGCTGAACCACAGCTGCCTGAGGTGGTGTGGGAGGGGAGAGCCAGTATCTGAGGAGAGTAGAATGGAAAGCACTTGGGACTCTTTTCTATCAGCCTTACGCTCACCTTGGGAGCTTACGTGCAGACCTTATTACATGAGATTATTTATATCTTTATGTCATGTATTCTGTGTCTTGTAGCCTTGTACACCCTGAATGCACTGCTGCTTGGGTTAGTCCTTATTTTCCATCTACCCCAATGAACTTCTCAGAGCAGGGAATTGGCCCATTTTTTTCACTGTCATATCCCCAGTTCTTAGAATAGAGCCCAGCACATAATCAACTCTTGATAAATGTTTGTGAAAAGAATGGCTGAACGAATGCCCCCAAATTTTCATTGGCTCTCTACTTCTGTAGAATACAGTCTAGAGGATTAACTTGTTGTAGAAGCATTTCCATGATCTGGTCCCAATCTTTCTTTCATCTTTTAAATACACACACCCTACAACTCAAGAAAATAGGACAATTTTCTGTCCTCCCTCAACACCCTGCCTCAGTCCATTTGTGCTACTATAACAAAATACCACAGACTGCATAATTCAAAGGATGCCAGAAAGCTACGAGTCCAAGACAGAGATGGCTTGAGGTTGGATTGTCTAATGAGGGCTGCATCCTTCAGAAGGTAGGAATGCTGTGTCACCACATGGCAGAAGGCAGAAGGGCAAGCCAGAGGAAGGCTGTGGGAAGCCTGTCAGCCTTTATCCCACTCCTAAGGGAGAAGTCCTCATGACCTACTCACCTCTTAAAGGCCCCGCCTCTTAATACTACCACATTGGCAGCAATGGGATTTTGGAGAGGACACCTTCAGCTACCCTATGCTTACTGATGCAGCTCACAATGCTCCTTCCATTTCAATATGCCCCTCCTTCTCCACCTCTATGCTCTTCTCTCACTCTCCCAGCTTCAGACTCTCCCATGGTACTTCTTCTGTTCTTTCCAGGAAAAGGTACATTTCCTAGTCTGTTTTCCCTTCTGTTTGGTGCCATGTATCACTTTTACACATTTGGGTTAATTATATGGTGTACTTATCTCTATTAGACCATAAGCTCTTTGAGGATAGAAACTTCCCAAGAGCTCTCTCTCTCCCTCTCCCTCTCTCACTCTCCCTCTCTCCCTCCCCCCCCCCCCCCCCTCTCCCCCTCCCTCTCTCCCTCTCCCTCTCTCTCTCTCCCTCCCTCCCTTCTTCTTCTTCTTCTCTCTCTCTCTCTCTCTCTCTCTCCTCTTCTGTAAACCTCGCTACCACATTAGGTGGCTGGAGGCAGGAGCTAGGAGAAGCCATCCCGGAGCTGGTTTAAAGATTACAATGGAGTTTTTTCAAGTCTGCACAGCATATGGTGTTTCAACAGATTAAATATGAAGGCAGTTAACTCAAAAGCAAACTCTTACCTGCTATTTGAGCTGGGACTCAGGATATCAGGACTGCACATACAGGATTACAAGGACAGAGAAGGACAAGGATGGAGAAGGCTTCGTAACTCATCATCAGTACAGAAAACTATGCAAACATACTGTTTCTCCTGCTATTCCTGATCTTCATCCTTAGTGAGAGCAAGCAACTACTATATTGCCTTAGGTTAAGATTCATGGGTTTGCTTGCACAGTGCCCAGGCTTAGAAGGGCCCCATGCTTGGTTTAAAATGCCTTTGTCACCGTCTTGAAATCCTTATCAACTTTTGGAAGGATCCCCACATATTGACTTGTCCCTGAGCCCAGTGTATGATGACACCTGACCTGTTCCTAATCAAGTCACTCTTGCATTCCCCCAAAGGACTATCTCATATCTTGTTTTCTTTCTTCTCAAATACTTGCTCCTTTTCTCTTCTTCTCTTCTTGATGATTTGGGCATATTATACTACCACAGAGAAAATGAAAACAATCGAAAGAGAATTTTCACCTTCCTCCTACAACTATATTGAATAATTTACTTACGGCTATACCCAAATAAACTCTAATGTCCTGTTAAATTGGAAAAAAAAAAAAAAAGAAACTTCCCAAGAAACAAACAGAATGCTTTCCCTTAGTAAGTACCTAATATATTTTCATCTGTGAGTGAAGAAATAAATAGCATTAAAATGATCCCATTTAAATGTCCATTTAAAAATAATTTTGAAAATTTTTTTAAAAATTACAATTTAGATCCATAATCTTTAGAGCTTTGGAAGCAAAGGTCTGAACACATTGCAGGTGGGGAAAGAAACTTGTTGAAAATGCCTAGAGCGAGAAGGGATGCCTTTTCCTTGGCGGATGAGAACAAAGTTCTTAATGGAAGATGATCCCAATCAATAGAGCCAGACAGCTGATTTATATGATGGCATCAAGCTGCAGTGGTGGTCTTTTCTCTGCAGAGTGCTGCTGTGAAAGGGGAAAGGGTACTTAGATTGGAATAACCAGGGGACTCCACAAGTAGATCTGTGGATATGGCTCGGCGTTCATAAATATGTTCCCCATCAGCGAGCCACAGGAGAGCTCCCGAGAGCAGCCTGCTTGAGGCTGGATGCTCAAGGCTGGCGGTGGGGCTAGTGCCACTGCTGTATTTTAGCTGCTGCAGCCGCTGCTGCCACTGGGCAGATACCGCAGTGAGGAACTGACCACTCGGTGCTCTCTGGAGCCTGGGTTCTGGCTACAAATGAGAAGTTAAAGGCGGGTAAACTGGGAGGATTGCAAAGCCTAAAGAGACAGCAAGGAGCAAAAGGAGAGCAAGCCTGAGTGTGAACCAAAATATCAGGCCAAGGGGAGCTGGAGGAAATGTCATCATTGGTGAAGGAGGACTTGGAGAAGAAACTGTTTAAGCCACTCTCACAGAATCTGTACGAGTTTATTGAAATTGAGTTCTCGGTGCAGGACAGGTACTACCTCTGTGTGTCAGGTAATCTACTCTTTCTGTTCTCGTTTCAAAAAGCAAGTCATCTAAAGATGCTTGGGTGGTAGGGGGGTTTGTCTGTGTTTCTTATACAGCAGATGTGTGCCTCTTGTGATAGAGTTTAACTATGCCTAGTTTGAGAATTTGGATTCCATTGAATTTTTCTTAAAGTGCTAAAATGAAAGAAAGAAAAATGATATCATAATATTTTGATTATTTGTTCAGAAATGAAACTGAATATGTACTTCTGATTTGATTATCTTGTCTCTAATCTTTTAGTTCACTCTCGTGGCATGTAAGAGCTCATTATTGTGTAAGAGTTCATTTTTAAAACTTCAACAGGGAGTTCTCTGTATATTTTTAAATACATTGAAGAATTGAGTTATACATCTCTATTTTCAACCATTTTAGATGACTGGAATTTTCTTTTCATCCTAGGAAAGAAACAAAACCTTAGTTTTTTTATTATTATTTTATTTATTTTTTTGTTCCATTCATTTGTTTAGATTTTCTGGGATTTAGATTTTCTGTTTTGAAGACAGAAATGAGCCTTTAAAAAATATTTCTCTTATATGAAAAACAATCCTTTAATGGTAGAAACCAGCTCATGAAGATGGAACTTTAAGGATAAGGGAATGTTCTCTAAAGGATTTAAGTAAAACAAGCATTTTAAAATTTATGAAAATTGTCATGAATAGGCTTTTTCACTTAATAGTTTGCTGAACCTGTGACTTTTTTTGTGCTGAATTTAGATAGAAATGTGTGTGCCACTATTGAATTTAATATCCCAGTCTGTGCCTTTGAATACTTTTCAGAGGCTTAGGAGAAAAGAAACTTGGTGTTCATTGTGGACTTTCCTTTTTAAAGTGCACCCCTATTTTCAGAGAACTTGTTATAATTCTTTTCCTGATAATTGGCTTAGAAGGCCTTTCCAAAGGTAACAAGAAGGAGTACTGTAAGGGAAGTAGAATATCTCTAAGTTAAGTGCTTGAATTTAAAAAAAAAATAATAATTTCTAATAAATACAGTCATATTTGCCCAGTATTAAGAAGAGTAATATTTATTGAACACCTTAGCCTCTTTTGCTATACATATAAAGTGTGGGAACTGGGCATATCAACAAATAGAAAAAACGTAATCAGTTCAGGAAAAACAAAGAATGTAAATTATGGGGGAAGGTCAATTAAACACTTTAAGTAAGAATCCATGTTGTATCCTAACTACCAAATCACTGTCTCATGAAACATCTCCTTGAATTAAATGTTTGGAATTGATTCAACGATTCTGTCATATATAAGAGAAAAAAACAAGGTCCTCTCAAAAATGAGGAAGAAATCCAGGCACAGTGGTGAATACCTATAATATCAACGGCTCAGGAAGCTGAGGCAGGAGGATCACAAGTTCAAAGCCAGCCTCAGCAATTTATGGAGACCCTAAGCAACTTATCGAATCCCTGTTAAAAAAGAAAAAAAAAACCTGGGTGGGGATGTGGCTCAGTGGTTAACTGCCCCTGGGTTCAATTCCTGGTGCAAAACGAGGGGATGAGAAAGAAGACAATTTTATGATACTCCAGATAAAAGTTCACTAACTTTTTACTAACTTTTCTCCTCTATATCACATCCATCAATTTGTGAGCATTTCCCCCCAATATAGCACATTTTTATGACCATTACAAACCCATTTTGGTAGAACAGTAATTTAAATAATGCTCGACCATCTTATCTTTGGCTATGTTTTACTTAGAAAATTTCCATCGATGGGAATCAAACAAGCTGAATCAAAATTGTTGAGGCAGGTTACTATCCTTGGAGGGCTCTTCCCCTTCAAGGAGACGTCACATAGTTCTGATTTCCTTGCACACCCTATAATCTAACGGTTCCAAATTTGCAAGGCTCACAGGTCCAGAGTAATCAAATCATATAATGCATTTTTCAAATTAAAGAAATATATTTGGCAGGTGGTGAAGCTCAGTGGTAGAGCATGGGCTTAACATGCCCAAGACCCTGGCTTTAGTCCCCAGTGCCGAAAGAGAAAAAAAAAATTGAAATTTGGCAATACTTTCTACTTATATGACTGGAGTCTGTCCTGCAGGAGTCTCACAACCAGAGTATTGTCATTTACTGTTAAATCTTGATGATTACCTGACCAATGTAAAATGCAGATGTCATTAATTCAATTTTCCTCTCTGTAGTTGCTGGGATACACATTGAGGATGTCTTGGGTCCTCAGTTCCCTCCACCTCAGAGTTTACATGTCCCTTTCTCCCTGGGATTATCTTCCCAGTCCTCCAACAACATTATCATTGACGGTCAAAACCAGCATCTCATGAAAGGGGTAGGAGGTCTGTTAGGTGCAGGCACTAGGAAGGAACAAGTCCTGAGAGCAATGAGGAGAGTGCAAATGGGTTCGAGACACTCCAATAGACTTGAAATGGCATATTGAAACCTTAGCCAAAACTGGGAGGTAGCAGGGCATGGTTAACACATCCCTTGGAATGCTTGGAATCAGGTCGATCTGGTTGTAAAATCTGGCCCTGCTCTGTCTGCCTATCAGCTATGAACTTGGGACAAAATGGCATCAATGTTAACATCTCTGGTATCAGTGTTAACATCTCTGGCATCAGTGTTAACATCTCTGAAATGGAAATAAAAACGTCTATGTTTGCATGAAGTGCTCCCCTATAAAGTCCTTACTAGAAAAAAAAATAATGACAAACTATATTCCAATAAATGAAAGGTGGGTTTTTAAGAAAGATAGCATTATACTTTTTAAAATGTACGGAAAAAATATATTTACTGTGTGGGCTGGGGTTGTGACTCAGTGGTAGAGTGCTTGTCTAGTATGTATGAGGCACTGGGTTTGATTCTCAGCACCACATACCAATAAATAAATAAAATTTTAAAATTCATCAATAATGAATTAAAATGTTTATATATATATATATTTACTGTAAAGATACATGCTAAAATATGTGTATGTAGGTCTATACTATAAATATGCATTTGTAGTTAGAATAAAATATATAGTAAAGGTATATAAATATGTTCATTTGATATAAAATTAATGGAGTATACTGTATACTATGTTTTAAATTATATGCCTATTAAGATATAGACTATTTTAAGGTATTCTCATGTCTTTAGAAAACAATTTTCCATATACAGATATTAATTTGAAATTAAGGGCATTTGCTAGAATTGTGAAAATATCATATGTAATTTTTCTACATATATTAATTTTTGCTATCAAAGCAGAACTTTTTTCCTCTATGAATCAAAGAACCTAACAATTTGTCAAATCATTTACAAAAGAGTGTTAATTAAGAATATGAAGACAAATAAAGGGGGTTACTAAAAGTGATTTTTGAGGCTTCATTTGGAACCACTGTTGCTAAATTTGTGAATTCCCAAAATCTTATAAATAAATCACAAAACTAAATAACTTTTTAAATTTTTCATTTCATGATGATAGTGTTATCTGGGGAGATAGTAGTTTAATCTTTCCAGCACTAAATTGAGAACAAATTATTGTAGTGTTTTTAAGAATGAAAATATAGGATGACATTTTGAAAAGTTTTCAGACACTTAAAGATGTTATTTTGCTGGGGGTGTGGCTCAGTGGTAAAGTGCTTGCCTGTGCAAGGTCTTGGGTCCAATTCCTCGGACATCATAGAAACAAAGAAAAGATGCTATAATAGTGGTAGAATAACAACTGTGTGGGTCAAATTATATCCAAACAACTATGCACATATTCTGACAACAGAGCAGAGGAGAGTGCATTTTTTTTTATTTTTCAAGTTGCAGATTTACTTAAGGCTGTTTTGATATATCTTCCCATTCACAACCTATATTTCCTTTCATAAATATGAATTCACTTGGTTTTACAACAATATAGCACTCTGTTCTCGAAAAGAGAGCGAGCACTTGGAGAAATTCTAATTTGATTGCACTTATTCTCTATTCTAACAAATTAGGAAAAGAAGAAATATGGGATTGATTGATGAAAAGTACACTTTACTAAAAATAAAATACAAATATCATAAACCACAAAACTTAGTTTTCATCAAGATTATGAGATGAGGAACAAATCTTGAATATCAAAGTCAATTTTATACCTTAAAATAAAAGGCATATCTTGCTCTGTATCTAAAGGTAGAAAAATGCTTCATTATTTTTGAAGTCCCCGCCCCAGACACTCCCTCACACAAGCAAAGTACATCGCACATTCGTTGACCATCATGAAATATCTCTATGGAGAAATGTAAATAAACTATTCTGTATTCTGACTCTCCAAATCAGAGTAATTATAAGTGGAGAGTACAACACAGATATGTCCCCATTGGGATCTCTTGTTACCTTGTATTTATTATGACTTAGCTTTTACACCTGAAAGGGTTGGTGACTCGGATACTAGAAGTGGAATACTATCATTATCTATAAAATCAAAGACTTACAATAACATCATAAGTTAGTCACTCTTGAGACAGATTTTCCCATTGGTAATTTTCTACTTTGGGAATTTAAATGTGGAAATCAATATGCTCCACCTATTCTAAAGTCCAAGTCACATCAATTATAGAGTGAACAGAAACTTTATAGCAGAGCTTTTAAGGGAAAAAATATTAAAACTTTTTCATTATTAGAATGGCCTTATTTATTAGGGGATAAAATAAATAGTTGTAAATTATACCTACAGAGTGTCAGGCATAGCCAAACGTGGTGTCGCATTCCTGTAATCCCAGCAGCTCAGGAAGCTAAATCAGGAGGACTTAGGATGTGGCTCAGTGGTTGAGTGCCCTGGGTTCAATCCCCAGTATCAAAAAAAAAAAAAAAAAAACTCAGCCAGACTGTTAGGCACAAGTCTATTTAATTCCATTTCTATACATTATTCGTTTTCATCTTCATGACAACTTTATGAGGTTAAATTTCTGTTTTGCAGATGAGAAACCATGGTCATAAGAAGTAAAGTAACTACCCCACGGTCACAGGAAGTAATTTTAAAACCAA